ACTTTTGAAGAAAACTTCTCCAGCCTCCATTTTTATTGGGGCAGCAAAGTAAAGGCCACAGACTTTTGCACAAACTGAGTGAAGTTATGTGCAGGAAGAGGAACGGTGTGTGAGCCGAGCAGAAGAGCACGACAACACATTTGTGTGCGTCAAATATGAGACAAAGAAGACATGGAAAGAAAAAGACATTGCAAGAAAAAGAAAGAGATTGGAAGTAGTAAGTATTGGTAGGGGAAACCGGAAGACCCAGAGGAAACCCACACAGACACGGGGAGAACATGCAAACTCCCCTCAGAAAGGCACTGTTCCGATCGGGATTCGAACCCAGGATCTTCTTGCTGAGAGGCGAGATGCTATCCACTCAGCCACCGTGCCGCCCAGTAAGAAAAAGTAATTGAAAAAAAAAAAGAAAGAAACCACAAGAGAAGACATTGAACACTTTGAGACAAAGACATTGAACACTTTAAGACATTGAAAGACGTCATGAGAAAGAGAAAGAGATATTAACAAACATTTGAGGAGGACGTGGCTGTGCAAATGAAACAGACAGAAGGTAGTATACACAGACAAACAACAACGCACAGAGACATATAAGACATTTAGGTCATATTTACACATTTAGGTCATACGTTCATAACACTACATTTAACTGCATGAATGATTACAAGGCAATCGTCAATGTCATTAGACTCTTACTTTAGAATGAGACAGAAGAAGTTTAGAATTATTGGTTTAAACTGCATGATTTTGTTACTACGGACATTTAGAGCAATGTTCCTCAACCTTTGAGCCGTGGCTCCTTTCTCATTTAAAACAATCACATGCACAGTTGAAACTGGTGCTAGGAAAAAATAGCTGAAGCCTTTAATGGACGTTGCATTTAGTACAAAGTGGTTTGTATAAACAATCAAAAAAGTTTGAAAAATAATATAGAGTATTTCTAAATCTTGGCTAAAGGTGATATTGGATCATTTCTGATGACACACTAACGCACCACGGTCTACTGGTTGAAAACACGTATGTAGAAACATTTTATGAAATCTTTTATGACATGTTTCTCTTCCAAATAGATAAATTAGAAACAATTAGGACAATTATGTCTTTGATACAACTGTTGACAGTTTATCTGAGACATGATTGGTGCAAGTACGTTAGTACACGTACAATAATAGTCCTTTCTCCACATGAACGTGAAACAAAGGTGAAGTATCAAAGTTTGAAATTAATTTACATTTTTAATGAATCCGAACTGGCTTTACTGAAAAAGGGAAAACATTTATAGCACGTGCACGAGTCTGAAAGTAACAATAAGAGCTCTTTAAACTATAGGGGACTATAGGGGACACAGTCTGTGAGAAGCCCGAGTAAAGACCACATGGTTTAAACATTAAAGTTTGAAATGGATCCTTTTAGGAAAAAATCTCTTAAAGCTCTGCATATTCTGCAGGCTCTGAAAGTTGCAACAATAAAATAACTCATGAGACAATTGTAATTGGACATGGAAAAAAATAAGAAAGTCAAATTACAGGCCTTCTGTGTTGTCTATATGTTTGTGTGTGTTATATGTTTGTGCGTCATGTCAAATACACTACGCTGACCTTAACAAACTCTGGACCGAAATACTAACGTGAGGATTCGGTGTGAGCTCCCCCCTTGGACTGCCACCTTAACGTGGTGGGGGAGTTTGAGCACTCGGATGATCCTGGGAGCTATGCTGTCTGGGGCTTCATGCCCCTGGTAGGGTCTCCCATGGCAGACAGGTCTCAAGTGACGAGTCAGACGAAGCGCAGTCCGAAGCCAACCATGGACAGCACAACAACAAAAACCGTGACGTCGCCCGGCATGGCGCAGCCGGGGCCCCACCCTGGAGCCAGGCCTGGGGTCGGGGCTCGCAAGCGAGCGCCTGGTGGCCGGGCCTTAGCCCACGGGGCCCGGCCGGGCTCAGCCCGAAGGGATGACGTGGGCAGTCCCTCCTGTGGGCTCACCACCTGCAGAGGGGTCCGTGGTGGCGAGGTGCAGAGAGGACTGGGCAGCAGTCGAAGGCGGAGACCTCGACGACCCAGTCCACACACCCAACATCTGGCTCTTGGGACGTGGAACGTCACCTCACTGGGGGGGAAGGAGCCCGAGCTTGTGGGGGAGGTTGAGCGATACCGACTAGAGATAGTCGGCCTCACCTCCACACACAGCTTGGGCTCTGGAACCCAACTCCTTGAGAGGGGTTGGACGCTCCACTTTTCTGGTGTTTCCCGCGGGGAGAGGCGGCGAGCTGGGGTGGCCATACTCATTGCCCCCCATCTCAGCCGCCACGTGTTGGAGTTCTCCCCGGTGAATGAGAGGGTCGCGTCCCTCCGCCTCCGGGTGGGGGACAAGTCTCTCACTGTTGTGACGGCCTACGGGCCTAACGGTAGTGCAGAGTACCCGGCCTTCTTGGAGTCCTTGGGAGGGGTACTGGACAGTGCACCGCCCGGGGACTCCGTTATTCTCCTGGGGGACTTCAACGCCCATGTGGGAAATGCCAGTGACACTTGGAGAGGGGTGATCGGGAAGAGCGGCCCCCCTGATCTGAACCCGAGCGGTGTTCAGTTGTTGGACTTCTGTGCCAGTCACGGCCTGTCCATCACGAACACCATGTTCGAGCACAAGGGTGTCCATCAGTGCACGTGGCACCAGGACACCCTAGGCCGGAGGTCGATGATCGACTTTGTAGTCGTATCATCTGACCTTCGACCGCGTGTCTCGGACACTCGGGTGAAGAGAGGGGCGGAGCTGTCAACCGATCATCACCTGGTCGTGAGTTGGATCCGCTGGCAGGGCAGGAGGCCGGTCAGACCTGGCAGGCCCAAGCGTGTAGTGAGGGTTTGCTGGGAACGTCTCGCTGAGCCCCCTGTCAGACGGACTTTCAACTCACACCTCCGGGAGAGCTTCTCCCAGGTCCCGGCAGAGGAGGGGGACATCGAGTCAGAGTGGACCATGTTCTCTTCCTCTATCTCCGATGCGGCGGCTCGTAGCTGTGGTCGCAAGGTCTCTGGTGCTGGTCCCGGCGGCAATCCCCGAACCCGGTGGTGGACACCGGCAGTAAGGGATGCCGTCAGGCTGAAGAAGGAGTCCTATCGAGCAATGATGGTTCGTGGGACTCCTGAGGCAGCTGTCCAGTACCGGCAGGCCAAACGTGCCGCGGCCCGGGCTGTTGCAGAGGCAAAAACCCGGGACTGGGAGGAGTTCGGAGAGTCCATGGAGCATGACTATCGGTCGGCCTCGAAGAGGTTCTGGCAAACCGTCCGGCGCCTCAGGAGGGGGAAGCAGTTCTTTGCCAACACCGTGTATGGTGCGGGTGGAGGGCTGCTGACCTCGACTGGGGATATTGTCGGGCGGTGGAAGGAATACTTCGAGGTTCTCCTCAATCCCCCCGTCACGTCCCCCGTCCAGGAGGCAGAGGCTGAGGATGTTGGGGCGGATACTTCCATCTCCCTGGCCGAGGTCACCAAGGTGGTTGGCAGCCTCCATGGTGGCAAGGCGCCGGGAGTGGATGAGATCCGTCCTGACTATCTAAAGTCTCTGGATGTTGTAGGACTGTCTTGGCTGACACGTCTCTGCAACATCGCGTGGCGATCGGGGGCGGTGCCAATGGAGTGGCAGACCGGGGTGGTGGTCCCTCTCTACAAGAAGGGGGACCGGAGGGTGTGTTCCAATTATCGTGGGATCACACTCCTCAGCCTCCCCGGTAAGGTCTACTCCAAGGTACTGGAGAGGAGGCTTCGTCCGATGGTCGAATCTCGGATTCAGGAGGAGCAGTGTGGTTTTCGTCCCGGTCGCGGAACACTGGACCAGCTCTATACTCTCCATCGGATACTCGAGGGTTCATGGGAGTTCGCCCAACCTGTCCACATGTGCTTTGTGGATTTGGAGAAGGCGTTCGACCGCGTTCCCCGGGGTGTCCTTTGGGGGGTCCTCCGGGAAAACGGGGTCCGGGGTCCTCTGCTGAGGGCTGTTCAGTCCCTGTATGACCGGAGCCAGAGCTGTGTTCGCATTGCTGGCAGTAAGTCAGACCTGTTCCCGGTGCATGTTGGCCTCCGCCAAGGCTGCCCTTTGTCACCGGTTCTGTTCACTGTATTTATGGACAGAATCTCTAGGCGCAGCCAGGGGCCGGAGGGGGTCCGGTTCGGGAACCACAGGATTTCATCTCTACTTTTTGCGGATGATGTCGTCCTGCTGGCTCCAACGAACCAGGACCTGCAACATGCACTGGGACGGTTTGCAGCCGAGTGTGAAGCGGCTGGGATGAGAATCAGCACCTCCAAATCCGAGGCCATGGTGCTCGACCGGAAAAAGGTGCCTTGCCCTCTCCAGGTGGGTGGAGAGGTCCTTCCTCAAGTGGAGGAGTTCAAGTATCTCGGGGTCTTGTTCACGAGTGAGGGGAGGATGGAGCGTGAGATTGACAGGCGGATCGGTGCAGCGTGCGCAGTGATGCGGTCTCTGTATCGGACCGTTGTGGTAAAGAGGGAGCTGAGCCGAAAGGCAAAGCTCTCAATTTACCGGTCAATCTTCGTTCCCTCCCTCACCTATGGTCATGAGCTGTGGGTAATGACCGAAAGAACGAGATCGCGGATACAAGCGGTCGAAATGAGCTTCCTCCGCAGAGTGGCTGGGCGCTCCCTTAGAGATAGGGTTAGGAGCTCGGTCACACGGGAGGAGCTCGGAGTAGAGCCGCTGCTTCTCCACGTCGAGAGGAACCAGTTGAGGTGGCTCGGGCATCTGTTCAGGATTGCCTCCTGGACGCCTTCCTGGGGAGGTGTTCCGGGCACGTCCCACCGGGAGGAGGCCCCGGGGAAGACCCAGGACACGCTGGAGAGACTATGTCTCTCAGCTGGCCTGGGAACGCCTAGGGGTCCCCCCGGACGAGCTTGAGGAGGTGTGTGTGGATAGGGAAGTCTGGGCGTCTCTGCTTAGACTGCTGCCCCCGCGACCCGGCAACGGATAAAGCGGAAGAAAATGGATGGATGGATTACGAGCTGGTCCACAGCCGAGTGAAGTTCATCTATCCCAGTGAAGAGGAGATGGGAGACCTGACTTTTATTGTGGCAGAGAGAAAGAACGGCTGTGCATCTTCCTCACGCAGCTTTAACATCCTCCTCTACCTCCTCGTGTTCCAGGTACATGTTTGTTTCATGTTTAAATTCAGTGTCAAATACCAAACAAGGACTAAGCTGCCGATTAGTGAGGCCTGGTTTAATGCAGTTTGTGACTTCATCTGCTTTCCCTTCTGTTGCATGTGCTGGACTTAAAACGCTCACATTCTTGACTTGTTTTGTGTATGGTTAAGGTGATACATCAGAGCTCCACCCCCTCTGGTTCTGGCCCCGCCCCCGCCCCCTGCAGCTCGGGTCCGGTGTTGCAGCCACGGACTCTGATCCTCACCAGCACAGACGTGTTTCTGCTGGACGAGGACTACGTCAGTTACCCTCTGCCCGACTTCGCCAAAGAGCCCCCATCGAGGTGAGGTCAGACCCCAACGTCCACAAATGTCATGGCCCACTTCAGCGAGTGGCTTCTTTAACTACTCTTACTTCTGCTGGTTCTTTAACTACACTTCCTGGACGCTTTACAAAACACAT